GCTCACTAGCTATGTAGAGCCATGAAAGGGGGAACGGAGCATGCTCAGTAGCTATATAGAACCATGAAAGGCGGAACGGAGCATGCTCACTATTAGAACCATAGAAGGGGAACGGAGAATGCTCACTAACTGTGTAGAACCATAGAAGAGGAACCGGAGCATGCTCACTGTTAGAACCATAGAAGGGGAACCGGAGCATGCTCACTGTTAGAACCATAGAAGGGGAACGGAGCATGCTCACTAGCTATGTAGAACCATGAAAGGTGGAACAGAGAATGCTCACTAACTATGCAGAACCATGAAAGGTGGAATGGAGCATGCTCACTAACTGTGCAGAGCTCCACCAGCTTTTCCAAGTAAGTTTCCTGTACTGCACTGAGTGTCTCCATTTGCTTTAACTTTGAGAAAATGAACATAGAGTGATGGAGAGGGAGGTGAGCCTAGGTGTGCCACTCTCTGACTTCCTCCTTGAAAGAGGGTGTCTGGGCTGGGAAGCTTCTCTGCCAATTGATGCATGACTCAAGGACATGCCAGCTGTTCCGTGGAGCTGACCCTATTGGGCTTAGTGACACAGCCTGTAAAAACTGTCCATGTGGGGCAGTGGCACTTCAGAAGCTAGTGAAAGGTAAGGAAGGGGCAGGTGTGACCTCGGTGCCCGGCTGCCCCTCTCTGTCCCCCAGCAGCCAAGAGACACACTACAGTGTCCCTAGCAGATGACCTTAGCCGTAAGGGCTACACTGTCTGCTTGTCCTAGAGCCATCCTGGGAATAAACAGCTTCCATGACCCCCTCTTCCTCTCACATCTGTGTTCAGACTGCTCTCAAGATGCGTCCTCCGCCACCTTTAAGGATCCTGAGAGCGCCATCCCACTGACAAGCAGTGCCACCCCTAGATAGGTGATCCTGGGTAGTCAGAGAGCGCAGTTTGAGCAAGCCATGGAAAGCAAGGTAGTAAGCATTGTTCTTCCTTGTCTCTGCCTCAGTTCCTGCCGGGAGTTCCTGCGCTGACTTCCATTCATGATGATAAACTGTAATGCGGGGAAGGAAAAAAAAAGAATCTCAAGTGTCTTGAGTGTCCATCATTTGTAAAGGCTGGGCTGGACTGGCTGCCGGAGCTGCCACTCACGGAGGCTTGTCTTCCTTCACAGGTGTTCATCTCCGTGAACTGCTTAAGCACCGATTTCTCTTCTCAGAAGGGCGTGAAGGGCTTGCCCCTCAACATCCAGATTGACACCTACAGCTATAACAACCGCAGCAACAAGCCAGTACACCGGGCCTACTGCCAGATAAAGGTCTTCTGTGACAAGGTGAGCAAGCGGCGGGCTCAGGAAAGAGCAGCGGATGGACCCATCCTTCCTGGGCTTCCACGCAGAGCCGCTGACCTTAAACAGACACTTACTGTTTTGCTCTTGAGTAAAAAGAAGCTAGATTGTAGAAGGAAAGGGAAAATACTCACCAAGATGATACAATGTGAAGTTTTGTCCTTGTGTCCCCGGTCCTGGGCCCAGATCAGTAGCTCCTTTACTGACTCGCTTCCCTGGAGGCCATTAGACAGGCCATGCCTAAGATTTCTGCATCCGCTTCGTGCAGCTGCTTCTCCAGGGAAACACACAACCGCTTTTGCCAGGTGCAGAGCTAGGGCTCTGTGTCAAGTCAGACTCTGGCAGGCCTGTTGCATCTGACCACTCGAGGGCGCCTGGGATCTTCGCCTTCAGAGAGCTGTCACCAACAGCCTGCCAGATTGGGCACCTCAGGGTCTTCACCTGTAACAAATGATGACAAATTCAGCAGCAAGCAACATCAGTATTATCTGTTGGTAGCTCCCTCTTACTGAGCTGACGCCAAGGTGTGAGCAGGTTTGCATTCCTTTCTAGACGAGCTCCAGTCTGTCTCCACGCCTTTTCCACCTGCCGGATGCAGCTTGCGACCACATCTGTCTCAAGCCTGCAGTGGCTCACACGGGATCGCTCAGACCCCCTCTGCATCTTCATTATGCCTTTCTCTGATTGTTCTGCTCTCTGATCCCTCGTGATCACCTCGGACTTCCACAGCTGACCTAGGATCATTTTCCCATCTTCCAGTCTCCCCTCCCCTTGGCCGTGTAATCTCCTCCTGCCCAGCCCCGGGATCAGGTGTGGAGATAATGAACACAGGTGCTTCCGTGGGATGCACTGGAAGCAGTGAGTCACAGCTGTGGGCACGAGGACTTGTGGCCTCGGTCAGGCTCTTCCCACCTGCCCACATTCCTCCGTGGCCCGGAGAAAACAGCATGATCCAGATGTGTGGCACCAGCGCCTGAGAGGCCAAGAGAACTGGGAGACAGAGGCCCAGCCTGGGGTACATGGGGCATGTGCATGCACACACATACACACACACACAGTCTCAAACAAAGACAAAGCAAAAACCCTTAGGAGGAGCTATCAGGGTATTTGTGCTATTTTTATAAAACTAGAGAAATTGCAGTTTTATCCACACCTTTTTCTTTTCACATCTGATTTTTTTAAATATTTATTTATTATGTATACAATATTCTGTCTGTGTGTATGTCTGCAGGCCAGAAGAGGGCACCAGACCTTATTACAGATGGTTGTGAGCCACCATGTGGTTGCCAGGAATTGAACTCAGGACCTTTGGAAGAGCAGGCAATGCTCTTAACCACTGAGCCATCTCTCCAGCCCCCATCACATCTGATGTTTATGTTCAGCCTTTCCTGACTAATAATTTCCCTAGGCATTCTTGGAAATTCATGGGTTCGTTTTTGAGTGCCATGAAGGTACTTGTTTTCTTCATAAAGTCTCTGTTTAGCAGAGCTGCCTCACTCTCGACTGCCCGCCTGAGGCCCTTACCCCGTCCGCTGTAACCTGCCCCACTTGTTATTTGCTGTCTTGTGATTGCCTCCTGCTGGCTGTCAGAGCTCTCACTTTGAGTCTCGTCTCTACGTCTAGCAAAAAAGTAGAACTAAGGCACTTTGGGTGTCCTTCGGTGTATCGACAGTGTATTTCCTTCCTGAGGAAGTTGTGCCATCTCTTGTTAGAGTTGCTTAGCTGGTTTGATAAGTGAGTTTCTCATCTTTCAGGAGTAACAGACATTCGGCACATTTTCAGAGGAAATGTGGTCAAAGTTTGGTATTCTAACCAATAGAACTTGGGTTGCTGCTTTTTCTCTTGTATCACTGACCTGTCCTTTCGGTTTTTGACACGCTGTCTTATGTAGCCTGTACCCAATATAGAAGCAAGAATGACCTTGACCTCCTGAACCTTCTGCCCGGTTCCCTGAGTGCTGGGCTGAGTGCCACCATCTCCCTGATACTCCCACAGAAGTCAGTCTCCTCTGCAGCCGTAGTCATCTCCGCTCTAACAGGTAGCAGGTTCTTGAGGCTAACGTTTTGGGACAAGCCCTGCTGTGCCCGAGCACATTCCTGGCGGGTTATGAGGAGAGTCCTAAGAGCTTGCGGTCAGGTGGTCCCCATACCGTTCCAGGACTTCCTTTGACATCTTTCCGCATCTGAACTGGAATGAGCCCTTCAACACTTCTGCGTGAGAAGTGCTTATTTCATGTTCAGCTCTTGTGCTGAGTCTCTGATCCATCTGTCTGTAAGGTCCGTCTGTCAGTTCACAGGTGCTGTACAGACTTGCAGCCAGCACTGCTGATATAGCTGCAGCCATCGCATTACACATTGCATTTTGTGTGTAAGATCTTCCTGTCTGTAACCTTAGGGAGATTCTTCTCTTCCACTGCTGGTGAGCACCTGAGTCTGATGTGGCTCGTATCCTTGAGTTTGCTAAGCATCTGTGTGTTTACGGCTTTCGTTGGGTTTGGAACATGTCAGGCATTGTGTCTTCAGACATGCCTGCTCCTTCCACTCAGGTTCTCCAGTTACATCCATGAAGCACTTTGAGCTTCACTACTGGCCTGTCGTTGTCATTTGGCTTTTCTTACTTCTTTCCAGAGAGTTCCTATCATTGTGTGCTAGGCTCACTGGTCCTTTGCCAGGGCTGGACCGATGAACTGAACTCCATCGCTGATATTTTCATCTCAGAAAGTTTAAACTGGACCCATTTTAGATCATGGCTCCGCTTAGCAAGCAGTGGGTTTGGTTTTGTTGTCGGTAGTAATGTTGTTGCTGCTGTTGTTGGTTCTTTTGGCCAGTTTCTATTGTGGTCCTGGGCAGCAAACGTGGGGTCTTGTGGACACTAGGCAGTCGCTGTCCCACTGAGCTACCCCTCAGCCCAGGCTTAGTTTTCTGATAGCTTTTGAACATAGAATAAAATGACATTAGCAACTTAATGTCTGTGCCTGGTACCCATGTCTGGGTCCACTTCCATAATTTGATTTCCTTTCTGTTTGGGTGGAAACCTGGCTGTCTTGCTGGGTATCTGGCCTTGTGCATTTTGTCTTGCTGGGGCTGGGTAGTTTTATTCCTAGAACTCTTCTTCAAGATTGCCTGAGACCTCATTAAGTCTCTTGGAAACAGATTTGTTCAGATGTCATCTTGTGATCCGATAGGTGACTCTTGGGCCACACTGTGTCAGGCTCATTATTCTGCTCTGCTGAGCAGGGTTTTCCTGGGTATTACTCAGAGCCCTGTGAGAGGGACGTTTTTTTCCAGTCCACTTGGTGGGAACAGACAGTAGTTTACCCTGTGTGCATGTCGGGGATGTTTCTCTGTCTGGGCTGTGTTTGGAGTAACCCCTTTGAACCCGTGTACCTGGAAGCTGGTGAGTTCTGTCATTTCAGAATAGAGTGTGAGTCTTTCTCTTGGCAGCAGCCTGAGTTCCTTATTATTCTTTCTGGATATGGCTGTGAGACCACCTTTGGGGTGGAGGTGTAGCTTCTCGTCTGACGAAGTTACTATAGGGCTCTTAGGAGGCACTGGGAGACATGCAGCTCTATCCAGGATTGGCTAGGGCCTGCTTCTCTGTATCAGAGAGTCTGTGTCTGAGGAGGCCAGAACTTGATGTATTGTGTCCCCCTTGATCACTTTCCATGGTTTGTATTGAGGCAGGATCTCTCATTTGAACCCAAATCACCAGTTTGGCAGCTCCTGCTAGCCAGCATACTCCAGGGTTGTACAATCTCTGTCTTTTGCTCTCTGGGATAGTAGGCAGGGCTGTGGTGCCCACCCCCACTCTGCATGGGTGTTGGGGATTGAACTCTAGTCCTTACCCTTGCACTGCAAGCATTTTACCTGCCGAAACATCTCCCTGGCCCCATATATAGCCGTTCTTACACGCACACTATACATCTACCATGTACACCGTCCGTGTACAAGGTGTTGGCACCTTTCAGAGCAGGCAGAAGGTTTTGTGCTCTGCTTTCAAACCTGATCCTTATCATGTTAATGATGCCAAAGATCAGCAAGAGGTCCTTCACTTCCTACTTCCCGTCAGGAGGATATTTAACAGAAGCATAAGCCAACAGTTCCTACCTCACTGGGCAACTGCACAGCCATCCATCTGCACAGTCCAGAGACATTACCACTAGACAAAGGAGAACGAGTCAGTGTGTCATTGTAATGTGTCGAATGGTTCCCAATTTCAGGTCATGCTTTTTACTAGTAAAGTTCTTGTGAATATTGTGTGGGTTCAGTTGCATGCTGCCACAGTGGATATGCATGGCACAAATACAGTACACAGCACAAAGACCACTAGTGACGGCTTTGTTCCTTGTGATTGATACCTGATTGTGTCTGTTGTTCATGGGTGCCATGTCTTTGGTCAGAGCCACTGCTCGCTGTGATGACATTAGCCACACTGGGAATATTAACAGGGCCAAATTTTATTGTTTTTTCTTTCATGGTCCTTCCCTATGAGATGGGGGAAAGGTACCCATAACCTCAGCAGGCAGTGGGGTGTGCTAGCAGGTTCTCTCAGTTTCACTTTTAGCTCGCTGCATGCTATCAAGAGGAATTCTGCTTTATTTGTGTCTCAAATGTTCCCCATGGGTGATTTCATGTAGCTAGAAACTATCTGAAGAAACTGTAAAAGTGTCACTAGAGATGTTAATTGTGGAAAGGGGTTTCTATATGACATTTGCATACATGTCTGTGATGTACATCAGTGAGAGGAGTGGGCTTGTAAGAGGAAGCAGGTGCGGCAAACCTTATGCTGACACTTCTAGAGATCCTAGTAGTTCTCAGAGGCCCTGATCCTCATTCTTGTCTCCTTTGCCTGCAGGGAGCTGAACGGAAAATCAGGGACGAAGAACGAAAGCAAAGCAAGAGAAAAGGTAAGTGCTTTGGCCCTGTTCCCAGAGAATGCCTGGCTGCGGCTGTGTCCTGCAGCCCCAGCCTGGACCCTGCAGAGTGCGGGCTGGATTGGGGAGAGACTGACATGGCCAGCGCCAGCACCAAGGCCTTCCCCAGCAGCTGTGGAGGAGGGCAGGCGCTTACTCACAGAACTGCAGGCCATGTCTTGGGTGGGCTCAGGCTTTTTTTGGATGCTGGGTCTTGCTCACTGTGTAGATCAGGCTGGCCTCTAAGTCATAGAGATGGAGCAGCCTCTGCATCCCGAGTGCTGGGATTAAAGATGTATGCCAGCACAGAGGCAGCCATAACTATCATCTCTTGGTGACTTGTGGTTTTACTCCCCAGTTTCTGACGTTAAAGTACAGCTGCTTCCCTCACACAAACGGACAGACATCACGGTGTTCAAGCCCTTCCTGGATCTGGATACCCAGCCTGTCCTCTTCATCCCGGACGTGCACTTTACTAACCTGCAGCGGGGCAGCCATGTAGGTACCAGTCTTCCGGGAGAGGCTGAGCGACCTGACAAAAAGACTCCCTGGTGATTTTCAGTCAGATCACAATGGCCCCTTGACCGTTAGTGAGCTCTCTGGAACTTTCAGTCAGGTGACGTGATACCAATTACAATCGAATGGTGAATGATGCTGACCCAGAGATGCAGTGCTAGGCCTTTCCCCCAGGTCCATACCCATTCTTTCCTGCTGTAACTCATTTAAAGGTGTCGAGTAGCCTCACATTTGGGGTTTGAGTCTGTGGCCTTGTAAGTTCAGCTTGGGTGACACCTGTGTCCAGAGGCCCCCTTCTTGTAGTTCCCGTTACTGGATGTCATTGACATGTGCCGTGTGCTCTACAGCCATGTCTTAGCAACCCATGCTAAATTTAAAATCCAGCTGCACCCTGCCTCAAGGGACAGGCATTTCAGGAGAGTGTAGCTTTCCTATACTGAGGTCGGGTAAATTCACAAAGGAGACCCTGCCATACACTTAGTAGACAGATTTCTAAGGGACTAATGAGTTGTCAGAGGTGTTGGCCAATCCTCCAGTTCTAGTGAGACTCCTCAGAGCAAACTGGAGGCTGCCAGGCTTTTCTGTGAAGGGGCCGGTACCAGTGAATATTTCCGACTTTTTCGGTCTGTGTCGTCCCCCATGGCCTGTCCCCACTCTGCCATTCTGTTGCAGAAGGAGCCACACACAGTGAGTGACTGGCTGAGTCGGGGCATCTAAATGTTCACATCAGCCAGCCTCCGTCAGGTTTGGTCCACAGGTCACAAAGACCAGCCCCTGGGTCAGCAAAGTCAGAGAGAGTTCTAAAAAATCTGGGTGTTGAAAAATATGGCTACAGGATTGTGTCTTTTAGAAGGGTTTGGTGTTGGGCTGGTCGCATTCAGGATTTACGTATGGTCTGAAGCATCTGCACAAGTTTGGAAAGCGATCTGAGTCTGTGTCTTTGGCCTTAGGTTCTCTCCATGCCCTCGGAAGAGCTGGAAGGTGAAGGGTAAGATTTACATTTTGTTTTACTCTAATACACTCAAACTCACCAAAAATGTAGAGATACAATACAAAGAACTTGCTTTTCCTCTGAGCTACTTAAGCATAGTTTCTCGGCCAGGCGTGGTGACACCCACCTGCCATCCTAGCACTGCCAAGACCGAGGCACGAAGGTGACTTGTGGCCATCCTGGGCTACACAGTAAGTCCCTAGCCAGGGCATCATAGCAAGACTTTCTTCTAATAAAAGAACAGAGAGCTGACCCAGAGCCCCACTGTTCCTGAATATCAGGTCTGTTTCCTGTTAACAAGGGCCTCACTTGTACCCATGGTGTGGAAGGGAACACCGCTTGCTCTGTCGCAGGCCCATTCAGGTCACACTGATTGTGCAGTTGCAATGATTGTGCAGTAAGATGGTCGTGCAAGGCTAGATCCAGTTCAGAGCCTCCATGTGATGTGTCTTTAACTTGGGAGACATCTGCAGTGAGGCCTTTCCATGCACCCCAGATGTGTCCTCCTCCCCTGGGTGTCCCTCAGTTTATTTTATCCCTGTGCCCACAGTGCCCATACGACTAAGCCTCTGTTTAGATATCTTCCCTTTTCTCGTGTGCTACGGAGACAGTACGCTATACCCCGTAAATCCGTTGTTCACCTCTAAACTTCAACCTGCTCACTGATCTCTGTCAGTCCAAGGCTCCGTTTCTCACTTTAAGCTGTAAACCATCCCGTCCACTCACAGGAATTCACCGACTGCCGCTGTTGACATGGGGCTCCTATCCCTTGGTGCAGCCCCTGGTCCTTTTGACTTGTATTCAGTGCTGGTGTCTTCCTTGTCTAACCACAGAACCAGTCTCTTGTCCAAGAAATGCTGATTTCCCGTAGAGGAGGCAGTGTGTAGAATCCAGGACTGGGACCCCAGATGTCCCTCTGAAGTCTTGATGCTCCTCTCTGTAGGTAGCCTGCTCATCCCTGTGGGCTCCGTGCCCAGCAGTCCCCTGCTATTAGAATATCCATAGCCTACACAGACCCTAGCCTGGCTCATCCTTATTATGGCTTTGGGACTGAACGTTGAAGACATAATGGAGTCTGCTTTGGGCATTCCTTTTCCTACTCACACAGGAGTACATAGAAATGAACATCCAGTTCTCAGTGGCTTCCATAGCCCTGTCTCCCTGCATCTTGGTTTTGGGTTTGTTTTTTTGAGACGGAGCTGTACCCTGGCCCAGGCTGGCCTAGGACTCACTGTGTGGCCCAGCCTGGCATCCGGCTCAGGAGCAGTTCCCACTTCGGGTTTCTGAGTGTTGTGATCTCAAGTCAAAGCCCCTGTACCTGATTTTCTGGGTTCTGTTTTTGCTTTCCCTTCACTCCGACCCTCTCCCAGCCTATATTTGTTGTCACTAAGCCTGTGCCAGTGGTTCCATTTATGGTGTCTCAGACATGGCCTCCTGTGGGCACCTTCACCAAGTACATGTTGCAACCAAGGAGCTGAGATGGACTGATCCTTTCAGGCCTGTGCTGCCCTTATTTCTGGTTATCTGTCTCCTCATTCACCCCACAGACACAGACACAGACCCCAGAACACACGCCTTTGCCAGCTGTGGCTCAGACCCTGCACTTTTCTCTCGGGCTCCTTGTCCACTCTCCCGTGCTATTTCCATGGAATCCTTTAGAAGCTACACTGTGGTTGTCACCCAAGCCTTCTGATAGACTGTCCTACCTGTGGCCTGGAATTTCCTGCAGCATAGATCACACCTTTTGGCCACAACTGTCCACCTGACCCGAGACATAAAACCCACGATTCCTTAAAGCTGAACGAAGGCAGCAGCGGCCTGTCTAGTATGTATTGTGTCGCAGTGAGCGCGGCTCTGCTTTCCTGTGCTCAGTGCTGAGTTAGTGGAAGGGATGTCCCCGCCCAGCATGTCACTTGGGTGGCCTAGGCCTAGTGAGCCCTGCCCAGGTTGTCGTCTGACTTGGACCACATAAAGAATGAAAAGAGTTTGAGTCTGAAGTACAGCAGCTCTGCAGAACCTCCCTCCTGCTCATGCAGTCCAGTGGAGTTGAAGCGGGTGACCTAACAGTGCTTTGGCTCACCCGCAGGTCTGTCTTGAAAAGGGGGCCGTTCGGAACCGAAGATGACTTTCTAGTTCCTCCACCAGCTAAGCTGACCCGGACAGAAGAACCGAAGAGAGGTGTGTTGGGTCCCAGTGGTGATGAGGATTCTTAGCTGGCAGTGAGCTCATGGTCTCACCCCCTGCGTGTCTGCCCTTCAGACCGCCACCTCCCTGAGTGTGGGGACAGGCAGAGTTCAGGGGAAACTGCAGTCGGGTCCTGGGGCTCACACTGAGGTGGCGTGTGTTGCTCTCCCTCCTGGGACTGTGTCTGGCCATCTTAGCTAGCACCTGTGATCCATCATCGTGAGTTTCGCTAGTGTGAATTACCTGCTTTTCTTCCCTGCCCCGCCCAGTGCTGCTCTATGTCCGAAAGGAGTCCGAAGAAGTCTTCGATGCCCTGATGCTCAAGACCCCGTCTCTGAAGGGCTTGATGGAGGCGGTAAGTAGGGCGCTCAGTCCTCTGTAGAAATGGAGCGAGCCTCACAGTCCCAATCAAACATTTTGTTAGACAGCCTGATTCCTCTGTCGCGCTGGAGCCTTGACCTCTTTTCCCAGCCTTCCTTTGTGTATAGCACTGCATGCCTCTGACCCGCCTTGGGCATCCTTGCTTGACTGCAGTTCTGTCTGTCCCTTGTGACCAGCCTGGAGTTGGTAGGTGTACTGAATTCCATTTGTGATGGCCCAGGGGACAGTTTAACTTTTATACTCTTGATTAAAGAGAAAATTCACATAGCAAATCGCCTAGAAGTTGACAATAGTAAAGTTTTAAAACCGTCATCCATAAACTAGTGGTTTAAGTCAGACTTGGTAGCAGCGTCTGTAATTTTCAAAACTCCAGAAGCTAGGGCAGAAACATTGAGAATTTGAGACAAACTTTTCCCCAAACAAAAACTCCAGCTCCCGGTCTATTTCTGTTACTCACTGGGACCCCAGTCTTTCTCTGCTCCTCATTGGGGCCCCAGTCTTTCTCTGCTCCTCATTGGGGGACCTAGTCTGCCTCTGTTCCTCCCTGGGACTCTCGCCTGCCTCTGTGCCTTCCTTGTCTTTGCTAACCATGGTAAACCTTATCCAGAGTACATCTGGGAGGATGTAGAGGTGTGACCTATGATGACCACCAACCCCCGGAGAAGAGCTCATGTCCCCATGGGGTGTCAGGAGAAGCATGGGAGGAGGGCTGCATGCTGACTCCCCTTTCTGGTTTGTCTTGGCCAATATCCTAGCACCAGTGATGGCTCCTGACACTTTCCACCCGTAAGCCCATGCATATCACAGAAATTTTGATCTCAAAGTGATGCATAATTGAAATGCCCCTTAGCTCCCTTAACAGCTGCAGTGTGCTGAACCCACTTGAAAAGTCTTTTAAAAACAAACACAAAACCTAGGTCCTGCTGTGTAGTCCAGGCTGGTCTGGAACTCACTTATATAGCCCAGTCTGGCCTCCCCATTGCTGGGATTTCAGGCATGGGCTACCACTCACAGCTTTATCCAGGTGCCACTGTAGATACTGGAGCCACCAGACTAAATGACATAAGCCCAAATGGAGTGGTCTGCCCAGACAGGAAGACAGAGGACAGTGAGATAAGCCAGAGATCCACGGGGAAATGCTCAGATACAGAAAGTGTAATGAAGGTGCATAAATCAAATGAGGTGACGGTAGTCTCCGCATCCCTCAGTGCGACCCTTCCTGCATTAGCCTGCTGAGTGCTTGGATCACAGGCATAACCACCATGTTGGCTTGTGATTATACCTGTGTGACTTGTCCATAACTCTCAAAGATGAATACGTGCCGTTTGTCAGACCAGCAGCATGAACTGCACAGGGCAGGCCTGGCAGGCACCTGGGCTTCAGTGGGTAAAGCCGATTGGCTCCTAGATGGAGCAGAGGTGGCAGAACAAGTCAAGGAGCTGTCACAGGGAGCTAGAGCCACTCTGACACAGGCCTCTAGATCACAAAGCCAACCCTGGTCACATGGTCCTAGCTGTGGATGGTTCTTTCAGTCAGTTGACTTGTTGACATCTGAACTAATTAGGGGAATCACCAGCTCCCCCACCCCAGGACATAGTCCCTTTGTTTAAGCATCTTTTAAAAACAGAAGGCTGACAGCCAGGTTGTGGTGGCCCACACCTTTAATCACAGCAATTAGGAGGCAGAGGCAGGCAGATCTCTGAGTTCGAGGCCAGCCTAGTTTACAGTGGAGTTCCAGGGCAGCCAGGGCTACACAGAGAAACCCAATACTGGGGGAGGGGAGGTAGAGCAGGACAGGAGGAATTACAAATTTGAGGACAGCTTTGGCTATAGTAAGACCTTGTCTCAAAACACACACATACACACACACACACACACACACACACCACACACACACGGATGAAAAGGTGGATCAGTGGTTAAGAGCACTGGCTACTCTTCCAAAGGACATGGGTTCAGTTCCCAGCACCTATATGATGGCACACAGCTGTCTGTAATCCTAGAGGATCCAGAGGTACAAGGCATCATGTGGTACAACAGATACCCATGCAGACAAAACACTCATACACAAAAATTCAAAATTGGTAAATGTGTACACACATAAGTAAAATCTTAAAAAAAAAAAAAAGATAAAACAGAAAGCTGAGTATAATTGTGTGGTTTTTTTTTCTTATTCTCTGTTCTTTTAGATCTCAGACAAGTATGATGTCCCCCATGACAAGATTGGGAAAATATTTAAGAAGTGCAAGAAAGGGTGAGTAATGGCCGCGTTCTGTGTACCCCTGAAGACAGCTGTCCTCAGCACTGATATAACACACTGTCAGCGGCACGCAGCCCAGAAGCAGCCAGAAAATGCACGTGTTAAATCTGGGCTTTCTGCTCTTATTTGTTTGTAGGGGAGAAAGTGGAAGAGTGAGTCGGGGTCGCGCTCTGTAGCCTAGGCTAGACCTGAACTCATGACAGTCCTCCTTTCCCAGGCTCCCCAGCGCAGGGAGCGTAGGCATGAACAACCATGCCTCACTTTCTCTTCCTTCTTAAATTTGAAGATCGGTCTTTTCAAGGGATAAAGAAATCTGTATTTGCACTTCCGGTGCCTGGCAGCCGTGAAGCGGCTCCACACTCAGGGTGTATGCTGAAGCTGACATGGGTGTCTGGACCCTCTGTTCCCACCACCAGCCAGGTGTGAGGCTGTACACACCTCACACTACTCTCCTGTGTGGTTTGGCGATGTGGAGCTGTGACTCAAACCAGTTTTGACTGACCCCAAAGCCTTTTCCCTTCCTTCTTGAACACCTTGCCCTTGGTTGTATTTTCCAGCTATAGAAAATTGCTTCTTGTCCCGAAATTAATTTTTAGTAGTGTGTGTGTGTGTGTGTGTGTGTGTGTGTGTGTGTGTTCATGGAGTCAGTCCTCTCCTTCTACCCCTGGATACTGAGGATGGAACACAGGTCATCAGGCTTGGCCGCCAACGTTGTCACCTGCTGAGCCATCTTGCTGAGCCCCAGAAGCTGTGATTTTTAGTTCTCTTTAGCATGAATAAGCAGAGTACATAGCATAAGACCTTTTTGTCTTATTTCTAAACCAAATGCTAAGGAATTTTCTTGATGACTCTAACAGGAAGGGTTGAGCTTAAATACTTTGTTTAAACTTTGGGGGTGGCTTGCCAGGAAGGGTAATCCATCAGGGCTGTGACTCAGTGGAGACAAGCTGTACTGATTCTAACGTAGAGCCACCCACATCGGGTACCATTTAGGGCGTGGATACTCCAGGTCAGATGTGGGCAAGTGGGCAGCGTTTCCTGTGCGTCACACCACCTGTTTTTCTCCCACTGGGAGCCTTAACTCGGTTCCCTCCTTAACTCGGTATGATCCTCACTGGTCCTCACCATAGGCACTATGGGGCACTCTGTCTTCTGAAAGAGGCAGCCACCAGCATGGGAGGGTACGACAGTGTCCCCACAAGTCACAGTCGATGCCCAACTAACAAGAAAATCCAGGCCTCGCACCAGAGCCAAGTAGGACGTGGGAACTGACGCCCTGTCTTTGTCCAGGATCCTGGTGAACATGGATGACAACATCGTGAAACACTATTCCAATGAAGACACCTTCCAGCTGCAGATTGAAGAAGCTGGTGGGTCGTACAAGCTCACCCTAACAGAGATTTAAGGTGTGGGGCACTCAGCCCCCACGTGTGGGAGTTCAGTGAGAGTGTTCCAGAACTTACAGTCCGGCCAGCTGAGGAGCCCGGGCACCCACCAACATCTTGACTATCAGGGAAGGAACTTCTCACGTAGGAGATGACGCTGTGTATATTGTGCTGTGTTGGTGTTTCCCATGTGATGGAAATCCATGCGTTGTTGTGTTTGAATTTCTTATATGCTTAGAAAGCAAAACATGAGAACTTTGTACTGGATCTAACAGACCTTGGGAACCTTTGGGGTCTGCTACATTACTTACCAAATCTCGGGAGATCTGCCTATGTCCGTGATAGCAGTGGGCTACTGGCTGCCGAGGGTCAGGAAGGCAATAGCTTGTCTTTGAGGATTTTGTGTTCTTGCCTGACCTCAGTCTAATTCCAGCTGCCTTGGGGAATGGGCCCAGCCCTGAGCAATAAAGGATTGAGCCCTCTCCCTCCACTTCTCCCCTTCTGATGTTTACTAATTAGGGTGCCTTCCTGGAACCTTCCTTGCGACTTCCTTGGACATACCAACTACCTTTCTTATGAAGAACTTAAGTGGGTGGCAGCGTGAAGTTTAGTTCAGCTAAAGCTGCGTTGTATATAAGTGCAATATCTTTTTGAAGGTCTGCCTGTAAATGTGTACATACATGTCTGATATAAATATATAATATATAAATACAGTGTCTGTGTACAGATAGTGGAGGCGAGCGGGAAGATCTACTTTGCAAACCCTCCCCAGAGAAGAGGGTAAGCTATTTTTGATAACGTGGACCAAGCAGGTGGAACCAAGCAAGTGTTCCCTAGCATAGCAAAAAGCCATCTCAAGTAGCGGAGCCACCTGCTCTTGAGACTGCTGTCACCATGTGGGTTTCTACGCCCTGAGTGGAGCTAATGGAAGACTCAGCTGCAACTACTGTACGGGGTGCGTATGCAGTGTCAGCAAAGCTGTGCCCATGCGGATCACAGCTGTCAACGTGAGCCAGCGATGCACCCCAAAACGGGCCTACTTCTGCGAGCACTGTGTTTCAGAACTTCCAAACCGAGGCTACCGTGCGCTAACTAGAAAGCTCTCATGGATTTACATTACTGTGGCAGGGGAATGTTTTGTACACACTTAAATATTTAAGAAAAAACTTTGCAATGTAATTTTATAACAAATCCTGTAACAGAAATACAATTGCGGGTCTCTTTAGGTTCAGGGAACTAGAATAGGTCATTTGTATGAGTAGAAATGTTAGCTGTATACCTAGGTAAAAATATTCTAATGAAGTATGTGAACAAAATAGCTGGTTTTCTAAGCTACGGGATACGGGTCATATAACACTATTTTATATTTTTGTTTTATGAAATCAATTTTACTTGTTTTAATTGTATCATTGAATGCGTTTTAAACTAAAGGGATTGAATTTTATATGTCTGATTCACAAGATGTCAGCTCCTGTTACTCCATGCGACTCCTTCACTCCATCCTTTTCCATTGCCTGACTAACCCGGAACTTGCTGTGTATCCCATTGTTCAGACCCAGAGTGCTGCTTCCCAGGTGCAGGGATTAAAAGCCTGCACCACCATAGCCTCCCAGCCCCGGGATCACATGCCTGCATCACCATAGCCTCCCAGCCCCAGGAAAGCATGCATGCACCACCATAGCCTCCCAGCCCTGGGAACGCATGCATGCACCACCATAGCCTCCCAGCCCCGGGATCGCATGCATGCACCACCATAGCCTCCCAGTCCCAGGATCACATGCCTGCACCACCATGTGTAAAATACAGCTTTAATGAACACGATGCAATCAGTGATGACGCCAACTCCCCTGGAAGATTTCCCATGACTTGTGCGCATTTTCCCACCTTCGTCCTTAGGCCCGAGTCCAGCCTGTGCCCACAGCAGGGTTTACTGATGACTCAATGGCTCAGGGCCAGCGTGGGGAGCCAGAGTTGATGGCAGTTGCCCTGTGGGAGCCCTTCCTCCCAGCCCCTAGGGCTGCCGTTGGCTCCCTCCTCACTCACTCAGCTCTTACTAGTCTAGTGAACAGGGCTTGCTCAGAGGCACCTGAGAGAAGAGCTCGGGGAAGGGTGGTTCCACGGGGTCAATTAGAAGGGCATCATAGAGGAAGGCTGAGCGGGTCCCCATGTGTGGAGTGTTGAGAGGGATGCGCCTTGTTCATTTCTGTGACTCTGTGTGCTCCAGGAAAGGAATGTGTGATTGTCATCCTGTTGGTGACATTTGCATCCCACCTGAGGTCACCAGCAGTGCAGCTAGGTTTTGACCCCTGACCTCTCCTGGGGTCAAACCTGGTGCTTAGAGGGGATCCCAGTTTGTGCTCAGGTCTCCTCTGTCTTAAGCACGTGACTCCTGATCCGAACTCTAAGCACATGACCCCCGGTCCTGAACTCCTATAGCTACTACCCCCTTCAAATTTCTGAACCAAATACAAATGTAACATAAAAAGGGGGGGGGGGGAGGTAGAAAGAACGAAAAGAAAGAAAAAGAAAAGAAAAAAAGACAATCCCATCAGCTACCAGAATGAACATCACAGCTCTATGAGAAGGTGACTGGAGGTTTAATGCCTCTCCCCCACCACCCCGCCCCCAGTCCTCCTCCAGGGTCCTAAGGCAGAAAATTTTCTAGAGTGGGTTGTCTAATGGAGTCAAGACACTACTGACTCCACCATCCGTGTGGTATTGAACATGGGTGGAGGAATGGACTGTCAATAGAAATGTGTGAAGTCTCACCTCTGGGCCCTCCTAGGTAAGTGCTGCTAACCAAAGAGCTGCAGCTCTGACTGCGGAACTTCTAGACAATCTGCAAAGCCAAAAAAATAGGATGGCGTTTGTTTGGTCTTAAGGGACAAAACGATGGAAGGAAAAGATGTGTTCTGGGATTCAGAGACCTAGTTGAGGTGCCATGTAGACCCAGAGCTCCTAGGTCTGGGCTGGAAGGAGCCATGCCTCCTCCAGCAGCAGAGCCACTGGACATCAGATGGGGAGCCTCTTCCTGTGATTTAGTTACAGCCATGCATGGTGTCTATATTAATGTAAGGAGATTGCCTTGCAGACACGGGACTCTGGACTTTGGAATGAGGACATGTGTGAAGATTGACTAAGCTAGAGAAATGTGACTCTCCATCTCTAATGGTCATGGCCTCCCCAACCCCCAGTGGCCATGACCTCCTCACCCACAGTGGCCATGGCTTCTCCATCCCCAGTGGCCTATGGCTTCCCCATCCCCAGTGGCCATGGCCTTCCCACCCACAGTGGCCATGGTTTCTCCATCCCCAGTGGCCGTGGCCTTCCCACCCACAATGGTATCTACCCACCTTAAAGAAAGTATTCCGTGGCGGGAATGGAGGTTATTCGTTGGCTCAGCAGCAGCCTTCCCCACTCCAAGGCTGATGTGGTTGTGGCTACTGTTGAGTGCCCAGCCAACTATGAGCAGAGACCAGCACTAAACCATGCTATGACACATCTTCAATCATAGAAGGGACAGTGCTTGACTCTTACTGGAATAAATATCAAGTTTGCTTTGCCTTCCTTGCTTGATTAATGATCCTGCTAAAACTCCCACCTGCACACTTGCACAGTACCCTATCCATGACTGTGATGTTCCACACAGTGTGGCCTCCAATCAACACACTTCACGGCCAAGGAAGTCTTCTGGTGAGCGCATGCTCACAGACGTCTCAGGTCTTGCCATGTTCCTCCCTGTTCCAAGGGCTATCTTAATAGAACCATGTATGGGCTGTCCCTTTGGCGACTCGGTTACAAGGCGACCTGGTCCTTATGGGGCTAAGGCAAGAGTCCCCAGAAAGCTGCACTTGAAGGTCATCAGCTTGGAACAGGTGCTGAGGTTTCAGCTACAGCCCAACCCCTCTCATCCAGGAGCCAAAAGGTGAAGTGGCAATGGCACCACTGTGACACCCCACTGTAACATGAGGGGCCGGCTTGTTGGGGTTTCTATCCCTTCCAGTACCCTACAGCCGGCAAGTCCCAGAGAAAATCAATCACACAGAGATCTCTGTAAGATTATAAACTGATTGGCCCATTAGGTTGGGCTACTTATTAGCTCTTATAACTTATGTTACCCCATTATCCTTATCTACATTAGCCACATGGCTCAGTACCCTTCTCAGCTGGTCAAGTTACATGCTGCCTCTTCGGTGGTCCGCGCAGGAGTGCAGAGGGAGCTTCCTGCTTTCCAGAATACACTCAGTCTCTTTGGTCCACCTCTACTTCCAGTCTGGCTTTCCCGTCTATACTGCCTGCCTGGCCAATCAGCGTTTTATTAAAATATGATTGACAGAATAGATAATTCTCTCACACACCCCCACCACCACTGCCAGAAAACCTTCCTTCTGTCCTGTGGTGGCACATGCTGTAATCACAACACTTGGGAGGTGAAAGGGTCAGGAGTCAGTCAGTCTCAGCTACATAGATAGTCAAGACCCTGTCTCAAAAAAGAGAACACGGAGCTGGGCGGTGGTAGCGTTTATTCCAGCACTCAGAGGCAGAGGTAGAGGGATCTCTGTGAGTTCAAGGCCAGCTTGGTCAACAAGAGCTAGTTCCAGGACAGGTTCCACAGCTACAGAGAAACCCGGCCTCAAAAAACAGAGAGAGAAAGAGAGAAAGAGAGAGAGAGAGAGAGAGAGAGAGAGAGAGAACAAGGAATTGGAGAGGTGCTCAGCCATTCGAATGTGTACTGCTCTTCCTGAGGACACAAATTCGGTTCCCAACACCCACACTAGCATCTTACAACCACTTGTAATTTGAGCTCCAAGGAATTCCATGTCCTCATCTGGCTTCTGCAGGTACTTACACTCATAGAACTCAGAACCACCAGTCCAGGGATGGCACCTCCCACAGTGGACCTGGCCCTCCCCATCAATCACCAATCACTAATTAAGAAGATACCCTACAGCTGGATCTTTTTTTTTCTTGTTCAAGGCCAGCCTGGACTACGTGAGACCTTCATTGAACTACAACAGGAAATACTCTTACCTGTAGCGTTTAAACGGGTGGTCCAATGAGGACGATACCACTCACTAGCCTGGGTTTGCGTCATTCAGCCCTTTGGGATCCTAATTAGAACGAGGTAAAGGAAGGGGTGAACCATTCTCTCTTCTTAGGCTTTTTTCCTGCCCTCAGACACACCTGCTCCACTGCTCGGCCTTTTCCTCCTCCTCACCCCATCAACCTCCCCACCCAGTCCCCATTCACAGTCTCAGGTCTCCAGACTGAAACTGAATTAGCTCCCCTGGGTCTCCAGTAAGCAAATGAGTATTGGTGGAACTTCTCTGCCTGGATAATCCTGTGGTCCCAGCGTTATTTCCTTTGTGTGTGTGTGTGTGTGTGTGTGTGTGTGTGTGTGTGTGTGTGTGCGCGCGCCTCAGCCTCCTGAGTTCAGCTGTGCCCCCTCTCAAACCATCCCCCAGGTGAGATAATTGTCTGTTTATTTCCCCTCACAGAGAGGTGGAGAGGTTACAGAACCTCACCCGAGTGCCCAGCTGCTTCTTATCACGTGGTCTTAGGGCACAGCTAGAGGATAGAGTGGGAGGGGGCTCCACCTCTCTATTGGGTGGAAACTTTCTGGTGTGGCATCCTGTCGGAGAGGCACCCTCACTGCTATGCGTAGCCCCTCCCCAAATGCCCTGTGAGGAAGCCCAATAAACTCACAGAGTGAACTTCAGCAGACGCACGCCTTGCTTTATGATTGGGACCTTAAAAGAAAGGATAGACATTGTTTCTATCCCCCACCCCCCCGTAGAGGGACTTTTTAGCGACAAAAGATTGTCTATACATGTGTACAGATAAATAGTTAGTCTGCCTATCAGATCTATCATATAACTCGTACTCATTCTGTTTCTCTGGGGCGCTGGAAGTCACCAAGATCTCATTTCCAGACGACACGCCCACCTTCCTTCTTCCTAGCCTAGACAGTGCCTATAGGTGGTGCTATGCCCAAGTTAAATGCTGTGTGTGCTCATTCTACCAGGGGCTTGACTCAGCAGTCCAGGGAGGTAGCCCAGGTGGAAGTCCCGATTGCCACAGCCCTCCTCCTGCCTCCTGGAGCTTCAGATCCCCTCGTGGCTGTAGTTTACTCCTGCTCACAACAGGCTGGGCTCTTCCCTGGCCTGACCCACCATGTCAGTGTCATACCGGGCATCGCGAGAGAGCAGACTGTTCACTCTGCTGGTGCAGATGAGCACATGGTGTGCCCAGCAGCCTCCTCTGGCGCTGTTACCAGGGGCCTGCGTGGAGCACTTCATTCTGTTTGCACGGCTGCCGATGATAAGGCTAAGCAAACATCCTGCAGGCTGGATCCTGACTCCGGAGGATGGCAGTGCTCCAGGGGCCAGCAGCTCTATCCAGGAAGTCCCCAGGGGAGGGAGAGAAGCCTGTGCCCATTATTAA